TACCAACTCAAGGTGTAACACAACTTCCCTTATTAACCCATGGGTTTAGATTAATAGTTGCATTAAAATGTTCTATCCCGTCATAAAGGAAAGTTGACTACATTCACTTAGTGTCAAACAAAATACAAATACAGTTAAACGACAATTAACACTTAACAATTTCTTCACAATACACCACATAAGACAATTACATTAACATTTTTACCTCTATTCTGATCAGTGCAAGTGTTTTACTGAGCAACGTGATTACACACCACACACCATGGTAGCGTATAAGCTAAGCTAATTCACGGATCTCCTCATAGCTTTACTCACCGAAAAACTTCAAAACACAATCTCAGGTTCTCATACATCCAACGTGTCCAGTCCGTCTGCTGGTTTTAGTACAATCTTTATTAGCTTTTCTTCTGTTCACGTTAGTTCGCCTGGAATATCACTTCCAGCAGCTCAGGCCCCTTCAGTCTAACGAAGGGTCACCTAGCTTGAGCAAAAAAAAATGGAAGGCGGTTTTAGCTTTCAAAGTAAAGCCTTCCAAAGTAAAATAACCCCGGGATGACAGCAGTGAAACTAATCACGATTAATTTATAAAATAAAATAAGACAACAATTGCTGACCACTGAATTGGCCTTAATAGTCTTGGTTTTACCCATGGGTTACACCTGAATGAGCTGAAGTTGTCTAAGGGTTTTTGGGGAAGACCAGACAAATGTTCATTACAATAGTCCAGATGAAGGCATGAATTTTTTTCTCTGTATCTTGTCTGGACATGAGACCTCGGAGTCTTGCTATTTGTTTGAGATGATAAACAGCTGATTTAGTTATGGCCTTGATGTGAATGGTTAAGCTCAGGTCTGAGTCAGTTTTGATACCAAGATTTATAACTTGAGCTCATGTCTTTATAGCTCTAGAATCAAGCTGATCAATAACTTCTGTCCTTTCCTTCTTGTTGCCAAAACAATAACTTCCGTCTTGTCTTTGTTTAACTGAAGGAAATTTGATTGCATCCAGGTACTTACTTGCTTTAAGCACCAGCAGAGTGAGTCTAAGGAACCATAGTCACTTGATGACATTGCTAAGTGAATCTGAGTGTCATCTGTGTAACTATGCTAGTCAGTGTTATTGTCATGTATGATCTGTCCCAGAGGGAGCATGTACACATTGAACAGCAGTGGTCCAAGAATCGAACCCTGGGGGACTCCACATATCATGGTGATCTGCTCAGATTTATAATCACCAATGAAAACAATATAACCCCTGCCTTCAAGATGCGATCTGAACCAGTTGAAGACTGTCTCTTGTCTGGAAACTATTTAAAATGCACCAGTATTTGAATTGAATTCCTTTATTGTCATTGTATGCTCTGAAAACAACAAAATTAGGAGTGCAACTCCATTTGGCACATAAGGAACAAGGAAACATTAAAAACACATAGTACACTGAATGACAACAGTAAAAAGAGAATAAAATAAAAATAAATTTATGAAGCACTTTACAACAATTAAAATGCTAAGTATAACAGCAGAGCAGCACTGACCCACTATCAAAGCATATTAGAGTTCACTACACAAATGGCCCTGGGAAAGAAACTGTCCCTCAATCTGGAGGTGTGTGCTCTGCCTGAGGGCAACAGTTCAAACAAACAATGACCAGGGTGAAAGGAGTGTTTTACAATGTTTTTATTTCTATTAAGACAAGGTGAAGCTGATGTGTACTCCAGGGATGGCAGCTGCTCAGCCAGTGATTTATTCTGCTGCTTTCACTTGTCTTTGCAGTGACTTTTTATCTGTTGCAGAGCAGCTTGTATACCACAATGAAATACAGAATGTTGGGATGGACGCCACAGCTGCTCGTTAGAAGGCAGTGAGCATTCTCCTCTCCATGTTGTTCCTCCTGAGCACTCTTAGGACATGGAGTCTCTGATTGGCGTCTTTATGATAGCAGTGGTACTGATCAACCAGGAGAGGTCTTTGGATGAGAGGACACCAAGAAATTTAAAGGACAGCATTTTTCCCACAGTATCACCAGTTATGCAGAGCAGGACTGGGTCTGAGTCACAAAAGTAAGAGTTCACAAACGTAACATGTTTAAGAAATGAATGAGTAGTGTGTAATAGCAGGTAATCAAGGACAACTTCTGAAGATACTGGTAAGAATGAATGACTTAGCCCTAATTATAAACTAATCAGTACATAACGACTCACTGATGTAGTATCTCCCAGTCAATTCTCTAGTAACTAATCATTATTTAATATGGAGTCCTACATTAGAAGTTATTAGGGAAGCTTATGAATGATACTGATTTTTCCCGATTAGTTCCCTAGTAGCTATGCATGTTTGTGTACTATACTGTAAAGTGCTAACAGAGTTTTGTTTAAAGTAGCTCTTTGTCTTTATATTCTGTGTGAATCCATATTGAAGAAGTGCTCTTTGTGGCCACAGCCTATATAATAATGCTTTCTCGTTTTGGGGGGAAGTCTAGCTTCTCCAACATTGCAGAGCTGCTCATACTCTTGTTTAGATTTCTTAGATTTGAAAGTAACTTTTCCATTACATTTACATTATTATGAGTTATTTTGAACTCATTGGTTTCTTTTTGTGAAAAGGTCAGACTGGTCTTCATGGGCTGGACTTCAGTTCCCATCTTTACTGAGTCCATCAAAAACTGTGTGTACAATATGGGTTTAATACCTAATGGTGTCTGTCGCAAGGACCAATATTTTATACCGGTTAAATGCCTGGCTTTTAAACAATCTTTCAAAGTTATGAAGAATACAATACAACATGTTTTTAATTCTCCATTATTGATACACATCTGCTTTTAACACATCCTCTCGACTTGAGCAGTCACTGATGACTACAGATCCAAAGGCCAACCTGAGAACAGCCAGGATAGACTACAGGAAAGCCTATGACTCAATGCCACACACGTGGATCTGAGAATGCCTGGCACTAAACAACGTCAACAGGACACTAAGGACCTTCATCAAGAACTCAGTGGGACTGTGGAGAACTTTTACATGTTTAAAAATGTAATATGTTTAAAACATGAATTTAATGTGAGAGGTTTTGAGCATGATTGAGTTAGACAGGCTGCTGAACTACCGTATGATATCATTGCCACAATTTCTGTTTAATAAAGACTTGTTAGGAATACTGTATCATTTCTAAAGACATTATGTCTGAAACAGTCACTTTGTTAATCAAAAATGGACATTAAGTTGCCTGAATGATTAGTGGCCATTTCTAGCGTCCAGGCAACAGAGTGGCAGGTTTCCTTCCCAGTCAGGACACTGTGCTGACGTTCTTCGTGGCTGAAACAGTAGCAGACCTGAACCCGACCAGTGTCCTTCTGATAGACTCTTGCAGCTCCTTGTTCCTCAGACTGTAGATCACTGGGTTCAGGAAAGGAGTCAGAGCGGCATACAGCACAGCTACAATGATACGAACCTGAAAAAATCCAAAAGAAGACTTGGTTGGGAACAACACTGACTGATATCTGACATTTTTTCCTACTGACAATAACAAGGTAGATCAGTCTGTTGTCTGACACTTTTTCAGTTTCAGATTTCTAAGAATCTGCAGTGTTTACAGAGACTGCCAAATCTCTGACTTGGAATTATAAGTCTAAATTGCCCGTAGGAATGAGCGTGCGTGTGTGTGGTTGTTAGTCTACATGTCAGCCCGGTGACAGACTGGTGACCTGTCCAGGGTGGACCCCGCCTCTCGCCCAATGTCAGCTGGGATTGGCTAAAGCCCCCTCACCTCCCACCCCCACCTTGCAACCCTCTTCAGAATAAGTTGTATACATAATGGATGGATGAATACAGAGCCTTAAATGTCATACATACATGAGATATACAAAAACAAAGGCAAGGGTAAATTTTAAAGGCTGATTATTTGAGTCTTGTACCTCAGTTGAAAAGTTTTCCACCCGCTGGGAAATGTTTACAAAGCAGACTGAGGTGAATGAGATGGACACCACAGTCAAGTGGGCAGCACACGTCCTGAAGGCCTTCAGCCTCTGACCAGCGCCCATCCTCAATATTGATATGCCAATCAGGACATAGGAGGTCAGGATGAGGAGTCCTGGGATCAGTAGAGACACAGTGGCAAAGAATAGGGCCGCAATGTTATCCACTGAGATGTCAGCACACACCAATCGCCTTACAGAATGCATGTCACACCAGCCATGTTTGACCACATTCGGGCCACAGTAAGGTCGAAGTATGGCAATGATGGTAGATGGCAGTGGCCAGATGGTGCTGAAGCCCCAGACCCCTGCAATGAGATGCAACTGGACAGACCGGGTCATGATGGAGGTGTAGTGCAGAGGGTGGCAGATGGCCACATAGCGGTCATATGCCATGGCGGTCAGGATTAAATGGCCAGTAATGGTTTGCTGATGGAAGCAAAATAGCTGGAGGAAACAGCCCGGAACAGAGATGACTGACACATCTGACAGGAAGCCAGCCAGCATTTTGGGGATGGTGGTGGTGGTGTAGACCATGTCCACAAAGGAGAGGTGGCAGAGGAAGAAATACATGGGAGACTTGAGCTTTGGATCAGTCAGTGTCTGATGAGGAGAAAAATGTGTTAATTACAACATTAATAATACATTCTTAGTCAAACTGAGGCAAGCTATGAAAGCCTTGAGAAGCAAGTGAAAAAAACATTCTGTTGATATTTGTAGGGCACATTTTTCTACAAGTTTGGTTTGGTAATAGTCATTTCGGCCACCAGGGTCCACCACTACACTATGTTCTAAATAGGGAGAGGGTTCTGGCTGCAGACTGTCTAAAAAGAACTAAAAGCTTTTATATTTCTTCCAGGTGAGTTTTAATTTCTCTATGCACTGTGAACACAAGGTAAATGTATTGTGTCAGTAGTTATGTAACATTATTCTCTTGTCTTTCTTTTGACTGCCAGTTAGCCTGTTGGCTATCAGATTTTGTTCATGGCTAACCATCACCTACAAGCTAGATTAAGTCTACTGTATAGCTAACATTAATTTGCTATAAAATTAGCCGTGAAAATAGGGATACCCATAACCAGTAAAGTGGGATATATGAGTGAGACATTTGGACTCTTACAGAGGAAACAGGATCAAATTGAACATATAATGATAGCGATACACAACACAATTTAGATCTATATTGCAATTATGATGCTTGCTTATGTGCTTTCACACTTACTGTACCTGCTTATTTCAGTTAAAATGAACATTTCAACCAAGTTGATGTGATTTGTTTGGTCTTCTGGGAAATCTGTAAATCAAATATATATACTTTGTTTTTTAAAATACATGGAAAATTAAAACTCACCTGGCAGGAAACAAAGACCTTTAGTCCTATTTAGACAACAGACCACTCTCCCTATTTAGAATATAGTGTATTACAAAAACAAACAGAAAAATGAGATGAACCACAAAGAAACAAACAAACAAACAAATAAATAAATATATTTCACAAGTGAAAAAAGTAAAGTTTACTTAGAAAAATGATCTTGGCAAAACATTTTTTTCCACATTTTCCCCAACCTACTTCACAGGTAGGAAAAATAATTAAAATCTTTAAGTAACTTAAAAAAGTTATTAAGGCAAAACCTTATTTTGTCAGGTGTTTTTCAGTCATAGACACTAGAGAGAAAAAAAAGTGAGATCATGCTTAGAAAATTGATCTCCAGAATTTTCTTCCGTCTTGGGGCTTCCATATCAGACTAAACACATACAGACACACAACTTTGTTTCGTACCACAAAGATGATCATGCTGTTTCCTCCCAGGATGATGATGTAACCCAGCAGCAGGATGACAAACGGGATCATCTGTCTGTCACCGAGGCTGGAGAGGCCCTGGAGGATGAAGAAAGTGACACTGTCAGGCTCCCTGGTGCCGTTAACAGAGCTGGATCTGTGACTGGTTGACAAGGACGGGTCTGAATCTGGAGACACAAGTAGAGGTGTCAGTGTTGAGTCACAGTCAGGACATCAGGAGGCTGAGTGCACTTTGAGGATCATGGTCCAAAGAAGGGTTATGGTCCATGTTCACCTGGTGAATGGTGTATTTCATACTGGGCCACGTGGAATTTTATTCATACACATGGAAGAACAGATT